GATCCTGTCTATCCTGTCTAAAGACAGCCGTGACGGCAACGGCTGGGTCTATTTGCCACACTGCGCTGCCCTGGTCGTGTTCCTGGCGATCGGCGCCCCATTCGTGTGATCCTGTCTAAAGACAGCCGTGACGGCAACGGCTGGGTCTATTTGCCACACTGCGCTGCCCTGGTCGTGTTCCTGGCGATCGCGATTTGCGGCGCCCCATTACTCTACGACTACACCGTGGTGTACCGCGGTAGCCTGGACGGCGCCATCCTCGCCTGCATCATCGGCACGATAGTCCACCTCTTCCTCTGGCTGTTACTCTGGATATTTCTCACCGTCAAGCAGCGCTGGACGTTCAAGCTGCGCGTGACCATCGGACGCGCCACCGTGAGATCCGCGAGGTCGGTCAAACTCGTGACCGACGTCGACCTGCTGTCGACCAGGGACGATGAGGACGGCACCAGCGCGCCTTTGCTCGTTGTCGGTAACGGCAGAACTTACACTATCGCTGACACTTCGCCGAAAAGGGCTATCATGAGCGTCATACAGAAAGCCGCTATGGAAAGGAAAGCTCGATCGCAAGGTGAGAAGACACAGCGGCGAAGGTGCCTTCAAAATTCGAAAGTTTGAATTTGCGCACAGTTATTAGACATACATACTTCTCTTTTTTTACAATAGATTCCACGTTGTTAGATAAAGGATTGATTCGTTTTTTTTGATATCTCACTTCGTTTCCGAAAAATATGCCCGCGTCACTATAAATGCCGCACCCTGTATATATTTTTTACGCAAAGATTTTTTTTATAAAGATATTTCTTTCTTTTTACTTGCGAAATGAAGAAAAACAGTAGCAAGTTATCGAGCGTAAAATAGAATGAGTCGTAGGGATTTTAATTTTGATCGATGAAAAGTACGAGCGGCTAATATCGCTCAAAAGTGATTCATTCTCTTTCCGCGTCCGTTGCAGGCGGAAACGTCGATGGAGTCGACGGCGAATCGACGGCTGACGGTGACGAGCAGATCTACTGGCTTAGGCCGAAATTACGCCCCTCGCCCGCGCAATCCCCGAGCGACACCGGCGGTGCACCGACGTCCGACAAGGGTTGGCTGAACAAGAAGCTCAAGCATAAGGTCACCTTTAACGACCTGCCTAGTACGTCAGGCTCGCGGTAACTACCCTCCTCCCTCCTCTCTCTTGGTGTCTTTGTGTATCTGTTTCTACGCTTTCACCACTCTTTGTCCACGATATATTACTACAATAATACAAGTAGCGCTTTTATACAATTCTTCACCGTGCCTGAAGTATTCGATACGAAGCTAAATTTTTCCAACGAACGTTATTAATTTTGTAGCTATATTTATTTCTGCCGTATATTGCCATGATGAAAGAACACACTGAGTACATTAAATATAGCTTTGTTTGTGTATATATTGGGAAGCTTGGATTTTATTTCGATAAAGCACGATGTATTGAAACCATGCTACGTATAAAATATTCACCTAAAGTATGACTCGTTCACGTTATTATGCTCTCTCGCAATATGTTCTATTTATTTTTTCTATCCCTTGTTGATGTTATCAAGATCTTTTATCTAGAATTGAAATTTATCATTATGCGTGTGGTAGTTCACGAAAAAAATTGCAAACCTTTCAAAAATTTCTTCATACTTTATCTGTATATATATCCATATTTATTCCGCTTGATTTATTATATCCAAATCGCCTTATCACCCGTTTCTCCATCTTTCTTCAGCAATCGTTGTATAATCGCACGAGATCGCAGGACACTTTTCGATTGCCATTTCTGATTTCTAGTAATAAGGGAAAAGCCAGACGAGGTGTCGCCGACGGCGGGCCTGACGATGACGGAGATTACGCCACGTTACGCGAATTACCGTTAATCAACTCAATGGACCCAGCCGAGGATACCACCTCTGAAGAGAATAAGGTAAGCTCTAATCTTATAATGTAAGTTGATTCATAAAAGAAAAATATATTATTTTACTAGTTTTATCACTTTCTTATATGTGAAACATTTGATTTTTTCTTTTTGTATAAAAGTTTATTATTAAGAATTGGGAATTTTAATGAAGCATTTTTAGCAATTTTATGATTCAAGAAAGAGAAATTGTTGCTTATTATTATATTCGTTACTTATCATATTTTACTACACCGAATACGCTTTCATCGCACTTTCGGCTGCTTTTAATTTAAAGATTTTCTTTGCATTTGACAGTGGCAAAGATGGCCGATAAGTCGTAGGGATGGTATACCTAAATTCAGGAATGTAAGATACACATAATTTTTTTTTTACTGTGACGTATCAATTATAACTGCGTGTGTGTTCTTAACCGTCCACTAACAAATCCTGTAATAGACATGATTTATAGAATTTATTTGAATGAATGGACATAATATAAATATTAATTAATAGATTTTTCTTTAATGATTATATATTATAATATTATTATTGAAAAATAGTATATATATAATAGTTTTATGAAATAGCTTGTATTATTAATAGACATAAAAAAAGCAATTATTATAACATATATATATATATATATATATATATATTGTTTTTAATATTGACACATATAATTTAATTACACGAAGCATTCATAGCTTGGCAATTAGACAATAAATAGTTGGCAATGTTGTCGCAACTTTAATTTTATATAAATACATGAAAATACTTCTTACAGTTTTTGTGAATTGATATTTATAATCGTTACGCATGAAACTAAAACGTCACTGCGCGAATACTAATAGTGTCGCCTTTTGACAGTTGCTCGAGTGCGTGAACGACGATCAAGTGACTTACTACGCGAATGCGAATCGCGATCTACAACCATCGGAAGGTGATCCCTCGCCTCTTTTGACTCCTGATCCTTTACCCGATCCCCCGGAAGAACCGCTTCCGCTACCACCTCCAACTCCAACATCTGCACCAACCACTGATATTATCACGGCGCCACTAACTACGAACGCCCAGGTACTAACAACCTTAACCGCGCATTGTCCACGTAGACGAAGACATGAGGTTGTCATTGCACTGGAGATATTCGGCATTAATCTAAATATGTTTAATTAATTAATAACTGTATACACGAAATTGAATGTTCATTATGTATTTATTTATTGTTATAGATAACATCGTCTAAATATATTTTTGTTAATAAACCTTAATCATTCTCGTAGAATTGTGCATCGACAATCTCACATTTATTGCAACTCTGCATGCAACTCCACATTATCCTTATATCCTCGTAGCCAAAATCATGAAAAGTTAATAGAAAGAGAAAATGTACGCTATCAAAGAAAAGTAGATTGCAATGTAATTATCTCAATGTATCTTTGCATCGTCTTTCCATGTATTCTAGTTATATATGTTGCCGTTGCTTGGTATTATAGCAGAACCGCGATCGTAAATCAGTCTCCGATGATGTTTTCCAGATGAACGGTGGACAGACGCCGCGATGTCTGCGCCGCGCGGATTCAGGGATGCCGCACGAGGAGTTGACACCACGCTCGGACTCGTCGAACTCGCCGCCCTTGGATGCGGTGGGTGGCGGTAGCGGCGGTGGAGCCGGTTCAGTGACCGGACACAGCAACACCAGCAGTAACAGCGAGACGTCGAGCGGCGTGCACAGTAACGCGAGTAACGCGAGCAACGCCAGCCACAGCAGCTCTCAACGTCGGGCGACCAGCGTGGACGACCTGACCGGGGAGCCGCGCGAGGAACCGCGCGAGCAGTGGCGCAGCTGTTCTCTTCAGCGTGGCACTCAGCCACCCACGGCGAACACGACTTTCTCGCCGCCCAGTAGCCGCCCCGGCACTAGCCAGTCTTTCTCCTCGCCGCAGTATGTGAACCACGTGCCGCCGTTCAGCAACGCCGTCGGCAACGAGATCGGCGTCGGCTGCCCGGCGGTTATCCTCGAGAATCCGAACGAGGCAACGGTCGTGATCCGTCGCAAGCTCTCGAGAACGAAGCTCACGGATCCGCTGAACGCGAAGGAGGAACCGTTCGGCCGGTCCACCAACATGCGGATGACCTCGTTCACCGAAAGCAACGACATCCGCATACAGGCCTCGTCCGCGACCCTGCCGCACTATCCCACACAACCTATCGTCACTTATCCGCATTGCTCGACGATGCCGTTGCCGCATGCGTCTCATAGTGTGGCCGCGGCAAACATGAGCGGCGGGTCCACCGGCAGCTGCGGTTCTGTGCCGAGGCACACCTTCGTGCCGCCGCAAGTTCACACCACCATGCCGGCGCATACGACGCTGCCATCACATCATAACGGCGTCAGGCTACTTCACAACGCGGCCGGCAATCCGTTCGTTAAGAGATTCCCGCCGGTGCAATTGCACACCCAGCCCTGGGCCTTGCCGGGTCATCATACCTTCCCGCAAATGCCGCAGAGCAACAACAAGCTCACGGTCACCGCGCAGATCCGACAGAGCGACCGGGACTCGGCCAACTTCTCCATGGCCAGCAGCGGGGACTCCGACACGTGTTTGCCGCATTAAAATACGCGATGACTCCCTGTAGGTGTTAGAGATCACGCCGCTGAGAACTCGAATCGCTGAGTGTGTCAGGGTGATACTTGGTATTTTCGTAATGACATTTTGCCCCGCTGATCGATATCGGAGGGGATTGTAGTTTCCAGACATGACGTATCAATGTCACGACGTCCTCCAAGGGCTTATTTCGGAAATAAAGGAGAAGTGATAGAAACATAATAGGCAGGCAGAAAGAAGGTTTTTGCGCGAACTCGAGACGAGCTGTTGTGAATATTTCGCTTCAAAATCTTTACGACTCACGCAGAATTGTACGTATTTAATGTGTCGCATTACCAGGTATGTATCTCATTAGAAGAAGCTTTCATGTATTTTATATCTCTTGCTCATATACATATGCCAAAATTTAAAGGAAAGGAAATCAGATTAAGATTGAAACGACATATCACGACATTTCTGCCGTTTGCTAGCGTATAAATATGGCATTCCTCGATACGTATTACCTCTATTTTTTATAATCTGATCTAACACGATAAGATCTCACCTAATTATTTATATATAAGTATGTCTATGATATATTAACATAGAATTTATCGTGCATAAATCATGTGCGTAAAACGTAAAAATTATATTTATTTGAATAAGCAATGTGCGTGAAAAGACAAGATATAAGTATATAAATATCGCACAGGGGTAGTTTATATGAAGGTAATAACTGTAATTTGAAGGCACCAATTTCGTTACACACACACATACATATCCTATACGTTGTGATTCCTCTATTTTATCTAATCTTTAATCACGCAGCAATAAAAGGAAATATCTTAAGAAAGCGGAGATAGTAATCGAAATAATAAAAGAATAGATACTGGTTCAAAAAATTCATCCTGGTTAATGCGAAATACTCAAATCGTGCAACAATAAATAATTATGCAAATTATTACGTAATACATTTATACATACGCAGTGCGTGCGCAATTTAAAAGAAAGATTACTCTTAACGGTAAGTATATCAGTAATAATAAATCTCTACTCGAGTTTGCGCAAATGTCTTTCGATAAGTGTCGAACGCTTATATTATAGTGCTTATATAGTTAAAATCAATCTTTTCCATTATATTATCTCTCACGGGGCAGAGGTGTGTTCGACGTACTAAGAAAATCAGCGCTTTAACGCCATTTAATGCCGAAAATGAAACGGTGGCCGAGAGTGAGAATAATAATAGTTATCCCATTTTAGATATGGAAAAAGTTATTGTGTTGTCCTAAATAAAATTCGTGTATAGAGTGAATTAAGGATTAGTCGATTAAGAAAAAATGTGAAAACAAGTCGGGTTGCTCCTTTGTAAGCATACGCTTTTATAATATATTAATAATTAAGATCTTTTTTCTACCGAGATATAATTGTAAATTTTGTTAAATCGTAATTTGTACACACATTGCTAATTGTTTGTTTATACTGCGACTCTAATAAGAGTCAGCTATATGCGATAAGATTAGAAGAAGAAAAGCATTCTCACGTTGAATGCACGTTCAAACTATGCGCAATATTTATCTTCTTTCTTTAATTCGTTTTTGTGGTCATTTTTGTTTCTTTTTTTTTTCATAGATTTATATCATATCAAGTTCGTCAGCGAGATAAATGTTTATTTGTCGAATTTTCTACGAATTGTACATTTAGGAATTATGCACGAGATAATACGCGTTAAGCGGTTTTATATGAGTTACTCTAAAATGCAGTGCAGATTGTGCAATCGTACGATCCTCGGCCTTGATAATATTTGCAGCAAATTACGCAAATATACCGTTATGTTAAATATTTTTATGGCTTGATAACGATATAATTTTCTGTCTTCTACAATAATCGTATCGTACGATTTGCGATATCAACAGTGCCATCGAAATTGATAAGCACACAATTAGCATAAATCAGAGAAAGGCAACTATATATGTAATATATGAGTAAAAACTGAAGATGATTTATCGCGAAAATAGTGTGCGCTATTTATTTATTTGCACAAAATGCACGCGCACTTGCGAGAGAATTTCGTATATCTTATTTTATCTTTTTCTTTTCTAACGTTTTTCATCTGAGATTTCTCTCTGTCTGTTGATATTATTTAAGTCAATACAACGAGTATTTATTTAATGCCTGCGAATATGTACGAACGAATCGTTAACACACTATAAGAAGAGAAAGACAGGCGCAATCTATGGCAAGTGAAACGATTACTGCCACTTAATCGTGAAGATCTATAGATCTCTATTATGTGTATATTTACTTATTTCATCAACTGCCATGTTATTTCGTCCTTTCGTGAATGTAAGTAATCAATCGTACTCGTTTACTTGTACCTAGCATTTACTTGTGCGTATGCTATGGGTACATGCGTAAAAAAATAAATAAATAAAATAAAGCATAGGTTCGCCAAGTTGCGTTCTTTCGCGACTATATATCACTTTATGAGACGCGTGATGGCAGAGACTGGTCTCGCGAAGCATTATATTCTCGAGTCTTTCCTCGCAATCTAATGTAATAAATATCGCCGCATATATTATGACGCAACGTTCGTTTCATATCCTCCGCTTTTCGACAATTCTTCCGAAAAGATCGTATTCGAAGTCAATAATACAAATCAATTTCGTAATCCGCCCAATATATATTAGTATTAAAGAAATGTTGCATCTCATGATAATGCATCTTTGATTTGTGATTATTTGTAACAATATTATCAAATTTGATTTTTCCAGAACAGAAACGAATTCGATTATATGTAAACCAGCGAATTTTGACTTTCCGTTAGATTGCGATGAGCTAAAAAAGGATGGAACTTTGACGTAAGTTGAATTCAGACAAATGGAATTACATTGCTTCAATTAAAATCGAAATAAACAATCCATACGATATATAATTTATAACAATAAGAAATATTATTAAACGAGTCCACTGATTTAAAAGTTTATTCGAATAATACCTAAAATTTATGTCAATTTATAAAATCGACATTATTATTACTGCACATCAGATATGTTATCATACATTATCAACTTTGTACAAATATGTACGTACCGTTTTTTGAAACAGATGAAACAGTACACTTATTTGATAAATGCAAAAACACTTTTTATAATCATTGATATAATGAAAACACGAATACAATTGATAAACAAATGTTATGCGATTGTATGCCAGTGTAACATGTGACTGTTAGCAAAAAAAGTTTACGCATTCCGTAAAGATGACTGCAACAATAAAAAGAAAATATGAGCGTTCTTAAGACATTATTCAGAACTCATACTTCGCGCGAGATGAGACAATGCAATATGAAACCAAATGTCTGTATTTTTCAATATCTTCCAGTTGTACTAGAAATAGCAGCGTTCCCCCCAGCCTTGTTCATAGAATATTTCTGTTACAAGTTGTTATGCGAATAGATATATTAATATCTTACAAGATCATAGACCTATTCTGGAAAATTTTGCGCTTTCCATTTACTTAAGATATTATGCGAGAGAAAATGTGATGAGTAATCCGAGTGCAAATCTAGCGGGTTGTAATGATTGATCTTAATCACTGTATCAAGGAGAAACTTCATTCTATTACAGTATATTAACATCTAGATATTCACGTGAATTCATGAGATATCGAATTGTAGTGCAGTTAAATTTTGAGTCTCAATCTTTTCTGAAGCAGGAATATATGTATTGTCTTGTAAGATGTGTGGAAAGTACCTATAGAAGCACAAAAGATCGACCAATTGATCACGAACGGCAAATCAGACATTTTTATAAACGATTTAAAAACGAGCGCTTTGTCATTTGCCGATCGTACATATCATCTCGCAAGGACCATGCATTTCGCGAAGACATTTACGAGGATACTCAAGCAATAGCACACGAAGCATCAATCAAGGGCTGGACCAGACTTCTTAATGATCAATGAGCTCTAATAATATCCAACGCAGTACGCGAACATATTTTTTAATGGCTATTTTCAATACGCTAATAAACGAGAAAAAGAATGGGAGAATTTTCGTAGGAAGACTTTTGAATAGAAATTTGAAAGAATCTTTATTCTATCTTTCTCGGTCATAGTCCTGACGTAGTGTGTAATAATGCTCTCTACCCTTGATTCTGTTTCAGAGTAGGTACTTAACGCTAGAATCACATATTTTTCTCAATGCAAGTATATGACACTTTCTTCCAAATCCGTTTCAAGAAATCTTCGTTGCAACACATACTGTTTGTAATCAGCGTGTTATAAATTTTTGATTTAAAAATATACATTATTAACATCAACAATACAATTTAGTCGTATCTTGCATTTTTGATTGATTTAAACAAATTGATTTTCGATGTATATTTTTTTTATCGTAGCTTTCTATATTTATTTTCTATTTTTTATATAATAAAAGAGAAATTTAAACAAAGATTTCATTATACATGTAGATCAAATTTTTTCATTAATCTCTAATTTTTAATTATTTTTGAATTAATTCTTTTATTTATTTTATCAGGCTCTTTTCAATTTATTTTCAAGATTATTATTTTTTTTAATTGTTTGTTGCGTTTGTATATAAAATTAAACATTTACTCGAATCCATTGATTATTACATTCTCAACACTCTTTAGAGAATCGTAAGAACACAAGAAGAATAATAAACTTAGACCTTTCGATTAATATTCATAATTTATCATCAAATGTTCAACGAAGATTTCTGATAGCGCAAGCACATGTATACACAATTGATATATCCTTGATCGCGCCGTTGCAATCGCCATTGATACAATTTTTGAAGAATGCACAAGGCAGTAGTAGCACAAAGAAAGAAACCTATCTTTTGATAACTGCACTTTAAATGCGACGGATATTGCTACGGCGTAATCGTGACGACTATCATAGAAAATAGTTATCGTCGACAATAGGGCACGCATCTCTCGATATACATATATTAAGACACATATATTTAACTTTACTTTCGCAAAATTTAAAATATATAAATTAATCTATTTTTCGTTATTTATTTGATATTAAATAGAAAAATTGTTTTTTCATTTCAGATTCGATAAAAAATATTAAGTTATTATTTCTGTATTTCTTTCCATCTCTTCTAAAGAAACAGAAATACATATTTCATTGTTTTATATTCGCATACATACAAAATTCTTTCTCATAAAATTTACATATTTGTATCAATATATATATCGCATATCTGTGTCCAAATGATTTGCAGGGATGCTCGCTCCGCTCTCGACGATATTGCTTCGTTATACTTGCATTAAAATCACGTAGTCGATGTCGACGTACGCGAGAAATCGAGCGCGGCAATGAGATACAAAAGCTGCCTCTCGCAGAAATATTTTTTTACCGTCTAGTGTCAGCGACCGTACTCTAATTCGTTTTAGATCCGGCTAGAACCTAGACGTAGATATGTGACCGTTGGCAGTCGAGGAAGGCTCCGCACCGGGGGCGTTTCGGAAGCAAGGAATATTGCTATTGTCATGACAGACAGCCTTGAATCGCTCGTATCTTAACCCGTTGACGAGAGTATGTAATCTTAACTAGCATATATATTTATCAGCGAAGTTTTTTGTATCGTCGTATTTTACTTTATGCATATCATTACAACACCGTAATAGAAGAAATAACACGACAGCTTATCTAAAAATTCTCTTTCAAACAAAAGATAATTACTTTAATAGATATATTTTAATCCTTATTTATAGATAGACTTTTATTTATTTAAAATAAATATTTAACAATATCAAACCGGAATAAAAATTTCAATGAAAAATACATAAGATCCATTTGATTTTAACATTTTTATATAAGATTTATAAGCTCGTCTATACAAGGTTAAGGATACGAAGTTAGTGATACTAAAAGAGAAAAAAATTGGCTGATCAAAATATTTTTTTTTTTCTTATTATTTAATCATTGATCATGCGAAATTCTTGGTTCCACCACACCAAGAGCGTTGAAGAAAGAGCCGGTCAGAGCCCTCCAAAAAGAGTCGCGTCCCAGGAACGTGTGTATAATCGCGAGAGAGAGAGAGAGAGAGAAAGAAAAAAAAAGAAAGCGCTTAATTCTTCCGAAATATTTGTAAATAATTAAGAGTCGCGTCGAGAGTGAAGAGAATCGCGAGAGTGCGAATGAATGCGTGCGTGTGAGAGCGCGAACGAGACGGACACATATACAGCGAATGTGTACGAATAATTGTATAAAGACTGATTAGATTAGCCTCGGTATTTATTCGAACTAAACGATTGTAAACGCTACCGCTTTGCGCGCCCCAAAATACTCACGGAGCACGATGCCAAAGCTAATTTTTTCCCGCAAAGTAAACCTCGTTTTTTTTTCTTTTTCCGATTGCTCACATTTTCCGATTAGTCCGAAGCATAATTAAGCTTTTCGAACGATTTCCCTGATTCCTGAGGAATCTTTACCATGCTGGCCTACAGATTCTAAACCCGCAGAACATTCCTTTTTCCTGTCTGTGCAAAATGTTCGCTTCGTGTATTTCGTTCAGCTTCGCGCGTGTGTTTTCGGATACAGCCTCGACAGGTCGGGAAAAATGAGCCTCGACGGCTGAAAGCACACAGGGTATATAATACGTTTCGCGAATGAGTCTATACATTATTCTTTGTGCACACTTTGATTTAGATATTTTAATAACCGACGATCTCCGACACGTTCTGACCATCGTGCTCGAATGAACGCAAGGGCAGAGGGAAGAATGACACGCGCGATTATTAACAGCGACATTTATTATTGTCACAACGTATCAATATTATTCAATGCATCGTATAAACCAGTAAATTAAATGTAAACTTTGTATATTCATTTACTAAGAGAATAAAAGTAAATTATTCACTGAATATCCGCACGAGATATTTTCCATTCCTCGATCCATCTTACAGAAATTAAAAGATTTCCTTCATCTCATTTTTATTGTAATAGTACATATTTTTATCGGCGAATTGTGCAGTGATTACAATACAATGTGAAAATTCTAATTATTATTAAGTATTCACAAATTTTCCATTAGCGCCCGGGCTCTTTTTAATTCTGAAAAGACGAAAGAAAAAACATGATGAAAAAAGAATATTTCGTAATAAACTGTATGAAACTGTATTAAAGTCAAAAATTCGTAGTAAAATGGATTTTAAATAATTGAATTTAAAAAATAAGTTTTATTTACAAACTTCGTAAGAACTAAACTATTCCCATACCTTTCAATAATACTTGTACGTCATCTTTCGAGATGTTTATAGTGGAATCTTCTTCATTGCCGTCTATTTTCTTCAACTTTAATGTCACTGTGGAAACAGGCGAAGTAGTATCGCAAGGTAGTACTTCAATGGAGGACAAGCGACTGACTACAAAAATTAAAAGCAAATTTTAACACACGTAAACTAAATCATTTGCGGAGATGGAAAAATATTATCAGATACATTTAAAGATATAACAATATGATATATCAGAAGAAAAATCTATAAATTAAACAAAGATTTTTTTAATTCCAAGAATTGAAGCTGATGCTAGCTCGCATTTTTAAAATTTCTCTGATCTTACAAAAATGTGGTATTTAGACCAATCACCTCTTAAAGATTGAGATGAAAGAACAGCCGTGATCTGAGAACAGTGATCTGTGTGAAGTCTTGCTACGGCAGTGCTATGCTCTCGTGGAAGTCCCAATTGTTGCAGCTCACTGCTCAAGTCAGCAGCAGAAACACCATAACGAGCGGAAGATGTAAAGATTAATTCGAGAGCGGCCACCATTGCCTTTGCATCGTTTACATCTGAATAAGAATATCTATACTTCTTTATCTTTCAATTATTTATCGCGCGATTTAATTTTATGATTGTAATAATAATGATGCATTGAGTATATAATAATAATGATGCAACAAATATTACACGCACCAAGTTTAGCGTCTTGTGTGATCTTTTTTATCTTTTCCTCCTAAAAAAATTAATGCGATTAAAAATTATATATTTAAAATAAAAAATATATATGCGTACACCAATTTTAATAATCGTTTTCTTTGCTTTATATTTTACTTCTCGAGCAATTAATTTAAATTTATAAAAAATAATGCAAATCACAAAAATATTTCTATATGATTGTTAAAAGAGAGCATTATTTAATGCGACAAATTTTAGCAATATAGCGCACACGAAAAACTACAATATTTCAAATAAAATCAATTTTCTTACTGGCCTATAATAATGTTAGCGACAGAAAGACACATAATTTCATGCTGACAATTAACGATAAAATACAACTTACATCAAGTTCTCCTTCTGTTAAATATTTAGCCACTGCTTGGCCTAGCATTTTCATTTTAATCGAAGTCTAGAAATAAAATATTAAATTTCGAAAAAAATAGTCTGAATGTTTCTAATCTCTGGCGAGATTCTCTCTAATAGTATATTATTAGAAATTGTCTATACAATTTAAAAACGAGACTATTAAATCAAGTTGATCAATACCATTCGCGAAAGTGTGTTGATTTCCGCCAGCAACCAATCTGGACAGTCGCCATCACCAAGAAATCTGAATCTCTAATATAAAATATATATATACAAATAAATTTAAAGACGTTAAAATTATACAAAAATTTATTCCTTATTTTAGAAGTTTATAAGTTTACTTTCTGATGATACCTTCTGATTTTATTCATTTGAAATATTACAATCGTGAAAAATAATTTTTGCGACATAAAATAATTTTATGAGTTGAAAATCTTACCATTTTGATTAATTTCCTAGTTTGTTTTCACACTGACTTCGTTTTTTTTACCTAAAAATCAGATTATAAGCACAATTCTTAAAAATTAGATTATATTGTTATTACAATAAAAAACTTAAAGAGATGCAAAAAGCGACATATAAAAAAATCCTGATTATTCTTATTATATATTATATTTGAATACAATTTTCGAAAAAGAAAAAGGGAGAGATTCTAAAATAATCATTTATACAAAATTCACGACTGAGTCGTGTTTGTCCTATGCACTCTTACGATATGTTTGACCAATATCACTGGAATTGACCGTCGAGCTTCTAGACCCCCTTTGAGAAACCTACATCAATCATAACTACGTCTACTGCGCAGTTAAGGTCCGTCGCGTGTACCCTCGAGAGAGAAAACTACGTGACTCTTTTCTGCTACGCTGCTCTTGCGCGATACCTTTCTTCTCTTTCTCTTTCTCTTTTTCTTACCGATAATATTTCTAACAATAAATATCATAAGACGAACGAACGTGGACGTCAGAATGTTTGCACTCGTTGGCGGAGTGGATGCGTGGGTATCCGCGTCAGGTGAACGAATTCCCCATGCAATCCGCCTAATCTTTCGACCGCGACGGAGATGGCCCACGGGAGTTTCGAATGGCGAACATAAATACCAGAAGAGGACTCGGCCTACTGCCATTCTAGTCGAGGAAGTCGCGAACGCTGGATATTCACCAACAGGTGAACGCCGCAACAGGTAAGATACTTCGATAATCAATTTACAAAACAGCAAACTCCTCTGCGATACCAATAAACTGATACTAATAAATGCAATTGTGTTTTTACATCATTATTAAAAATTAAGATTTAATAAGAGATTACTTTTTGATATAAAAAAGGAAGTAAGATAACAATTATGTTGACTTATTAAAAAGTTATGATGATTTTATTTTTCTCTTATCTTGACGATGTATCTTTCGGTTGGCAATTAATTGCGATTTTGATAGAATCACAAGTATAGATTTATCAACTATTTTAAATGTATAAACTTGTAATAAAGATCCGCGAATGTGCTTTTAAATAGAATTTTATCAATCGGCATTAATAAAACGTTAATAAATTTTCGATGATCTTCTTGCTTCATTTATTATAATTTTCATTATATTTAATTATAAAATTATTCTTATCTACAAAAATTTTAATATAAGGAGTGTCCTAAGAAATTCGTCATTAGCTGTATTATGATCTTGTAATGAAATGCTCTGTATACACATTCTTCTATGATAGTTAATGGAATTATATAGAAAGGGTAAAATAAAATTGGATTTCATTTCTATTACATGATTGAACATCGATACTGTAATAAACCTGTATGTCACTTTGTACCATTAGTTGAATGGTTATAATAATAGATGGTAAAAGCATCTTCTTATACATTTGTACAAGTAAATTTAGATAAAAAACATCCCCAAAATAACAATAAGATCGCTGTAATAAAGCCGCTATCGACAGATACTATTTTCATATTATATTAAATAATTAAATTATGACATTAATAAGTAAAATGCAAAATTTATATAAATATGAATTATCTTTTAGCAATGAAGAAGATATTACTGGCCACTTTACTATCAATAGCAATGTCCGAAAATATTCTAGTAAGTAAAATCTATATAGTAAAATCTAATTTATAACTATTTAAAATAAACACTACATCACACATAACTGTTTTATTAAAAATAAAGAGATGTATAGTTTTAAAAAAGTATTAAAAGTGTCGTATTCAATATCGATTTTAATGAGAATTATCTGAGAAAATATGTAATTATTTAAAATTTTATTATAACTACATCAATGTGCGTAATCGTTTTTATTTTAAGATGGAGAATTATCTGAGACCAAAAACAGTATGGGTTCGCAGCAAACAATTTGGGAATAAAAAAATAAAGCGAGCACTGAACGAAATTTCTTCCGAAGTGGAAGAATTCTCAAATTACGACAACGAAAGACATCTTCCTCGAATTTCGAAAACACGGTTCATTAGCGATTCCAAGAAATTGCCCTCGCTAATGTTTATGAGGTAATAACGTACAATATAATATAATATATATAATATATACATATATATTTAAGGTCTTATTTTTACACTAAAAAGTTAAGGCATAAATTTTACCCAGTTAATTTCTAAAATATATTTTTTTCGAAATATTATTTTCATACATATATAATTATATAAAAATTAGAGACCATTGGAGATTCACATGACATATGCCAACGTAAAAATGAAGAATTTATATATTAGCACACATATACATCTAGTTATATAATAAGATGATATAAAATCTGATTCATTTATATATAT